GGGAAGGTTAGATCTTTTGTTATTGAGTCATAGGTCCATAGACTATGTTCTTCTTTTCCAGTCTGCAACACCATTTTCTGTTATTCAAACTGATCACTTGCCTTGTTCTATCTTCAAGTTCTAGCCTTTTCCTTTGCAATTGCCATTCTGTTAGTGAACTCATCCAGTGCAGTTTTAAAAAAAAATTTAAATACTATCTTTTTGGTTCTACAATTTCATTTTGATTCTTTTTGATATCTTCTGTTTCATTACTGAGATTTTCTAGTTGTCCACTTGTTCTAAGAGTGTTCATATTTGCTCTTAGAAGAATTTCTAAGATAGTTGTTTTAAAGTCTTTTCCCGCTGGGCTCGGTGGCTCAGCCTGTAATCCCACGCCCTTGGGAGGCTGAGGTGAGTGGATTGCCTGAGCCCATGGGTTCGAGACCTGCCTGGGCAACTTGGCGAGACCTCATCTCTACAATAAAAAAAAAATCAAAAAAATTAGCCAGGCATGGTAGTGCACGCCTGTAATCCCAGCTACTTGGAAGGCTGAGGCAGAAGGATCGCCGGAACCTAGCAGGTCGAGGCTGTGGTGGCCAGGAGCGGCCACTGCACTCCAGTCTGGGTGACAGAGTGAGAATCCAACTCAAAAATAAAATAAAATAAAATCTTTTCCCGATAATTCAAACATTTCTGTCATTTGGGTGTTAGGGGCTGTTGATTTCTTTTTTCATATAAGATAAGCTTTTTTCCTGGCTCCTGCCATGCCAAGTAATTTTGAGTTATGTCTTAGAAATTCTGTGTGTTTTGTTATGAGACCCTGGTTTCTGTTTAACTCTTCTATTTTAGCTGGCAGTCAACCCACTTACAGCTACAGCACACATCCTGGCCCACTTTTGTGGGTTGTGGTTTGAATGCTAATCTAATTTTGACCCTTTTAGTACTACTCTGGTCTGCCACACCGTGCACTTCTCAGAGGCCAAGCTGAATTCTCAAAGGATTTCCTGTGTTGATTTTGGTCTGTTTGATGCTTGGGCCACTCAGAGATGAGCCAGAGACTACTGACTATTGATTGATTGGTTGATTGAATCTGAATCTCACTCTGTCACCCAGGTTGGAGGGCAGTGGCATGATCACAGCCACCGCAGCCTCGACCAACCGGTCCAGGGATCCTTTCTCCTCAGCTCCCAGTAGTTGGAACTACAGGCACACGTCACCACATCTGGCTAATTTTTGGATATTCTGTAGAGACGAGGTCTCACCAAATTGCCCAAGCTGGTCTGGAACTCCTGGGCTCAAGGAATTCTCCTGCCTCCGCTGGGCCTGCTTTACTTTTTAGTGTATAACAGGAATCCTCAGGGCACTTTCTACTGTCCCTGCCTCAGTGGAGAGGGGAAGGCGGAGTCTCTTCTTTGCTGAGGTTCACTCAGTGGGCTCGCCCCACATACTCGGCAGCGTGGCGGGCAGTGGTGGGTGAAAGACGGTGGCGCGCAGTGAGACTCAACACCCGTTAAGGCCAAGAGATTTAATGGGATGGGCGCGGTGGCTACAGAACCTGAGGGTCAGGCTGCAGCGTGGAGGCAGGGGTGTGGCAGGTTTCATGGGAATTTAAAGCGACCTGTCGGTTACCTATTGGTGGGCAGGTGAGGCATTTTGGGGATTGGCGGGGGCTTTCGCTGGCGCGGGAACGGTGGGCTTTGTTGTGGAAGAAGAACCCGGAAAGCCTTGTCCGAGCCTCCATGTTAAGTTTGTCCGGGTGCCTTCTTAGGCGGGAGTGCCATTTTAGGTGGGGGCCGTGCCTGGGCTTAGCTTTTGGAGGGGGCGGCTTCCTCGTTGTGGCTGGCTGGGGCCTTTCGGTGAGGTCATGAGGCATCTTTCGTAGTGTTTTCCTGGAGTCCGACAGTTACAGTCAAAAGGTCCTACCTGCAGAGGCGTCCTCTTCCTGGTCTTTTGTTGAGAGCGAGGAAGAGGGGGAGGG